GAGAGAGAGAGAGAGAGAGAGAGGGGGCTGAGTGATCACCCATCAGGGAGACAAATGAGAGAGAGAGAGAGAGAGAGAGAGAGAGAGAGAGAGAGAGAGAGAGAGAGAGAGAGAGAGGGATTAGTGATCACATATGAGAGAAAGAGAGGGAGGGCTTAGTGATCACCCATCAGAAGCACTCATTTTATTAATCTGTAGCACAAGTGAATCCTACACACCAAAACATACAATCGACCGAAAGAATAAAATGCAGAAACGAAGACGATGACCGAAGTCTCACTGAAATTGAGTTGACATCAACGTGGAAGAAACGTTACAATGCCTGCTGCCATTTCGACCTCGACGAAAAAAAAAAATTCTCTCTCTCTCTCTCTCTCTCTCTCTCTCAGCCGATTCCTTGCAATGTAACCGAGGACGGTGACATTGCCACTACATTAACAGGGCGAGGTCCCAGTAGGGGTGACGTCGCACCTGGGCGACGAGTGTGCGGCTGCGGGCATACCCAAACTACAGGTAGGGTCTTTTTTGCTCACTTATGGACGTGATTGCGGTCAGATGCATCCAGGTCTGGCCGTAATTGCAGTCAGATGCATTTTTTGAAAAGTGTTGGTATATGAGTATGCCCTACGTGTCGCTGTGTGGCGAGTGTGCGACCAACGCCGTACACTGGTTCTGGGCCTGGCCACACCACCCTCGAAATGGGAAAAAGACGAAGCTGTGGCCGGTGCATCTGGCCATATTCTTGCGGGAATTTCATTTTCATTTTGCACATTTGTAGAGTGATTGCATCTGGCCGTAATTATACTCGGCCTTTTTCCTCATCTGGACGTGGCTGCAGTCACATTCATCCAGGTATGGCCGTGATTGCCTCCCTGATGTTTTTTTTTGGGGGGGGAAGTGCTACCATCTTCTCACGAACACAGCGCACCCTCCCTCTTCGTGAAGAGGGTGCGTTGAAGAAGGTGCGTTATGCTCGCCGAAGACAGTACTGTCAGGATGCCCAAAGAATTGAATTACATTCCAACTCTTTTTTTTTTTTCTTTTTTTTTTTCCCAAATGAACAATGTCTTTCCAACTCTTTGGGCATACTGACACTAAAATATTTTATTAACAGCATATAGCACTGTCCTGCCTTTTGCCTTCCTCTTCGTTTAAATAGGAATACATGGCAGTGTCTTCACTTCTTTTTCAAGGGACTTTGCGTTTCCTGATATGGGCTCGGCCGGTGATGCCTCGCTCATAATCAAGAACCGCCTGCATATATGTAAGGGACGCCGGGCCCGTTTCCCGGTTTTGTATAATAAACCATCAGCTGTGTTGTTAAATATATGAGTCGGTGAAACTCCGACGAAACAGTATGTCACAGCCCCTCGTTTGTTGTCCTCTTCTCCCTCTCTGCCTACGGTTTACCGGGCAGTTCTATTTGACG